AGTTTTCTGCGTTAAAAAAAGACTAAACTCAACTGCCTGTAAACGATGTGTACGTGGAGAGGGAGAGCTCAGGGGCTGCTGAAAAAAGCGCTGAACAGCTCCTGAACGTCCGTTTATGAGCTGCAGTGTACATGAGGCCTAAGTGCAGCAGGGAGGATTCATCCATATACCTTGAATGTGCGGATTGAGGAATCTGTTCATTTTTCTTGATCAGACAGTTTTTTGTACTTTTTTTTCTTTTGGTCTGTTTAATTATCATTTAATGTTATCTGGTCAAGAGTAGTTTGTTGGGGCATACACTTTAAAAGTGGAGATATAGATTTTTTTGAAATGCCCATTCCTGATAGGGTCTCTTTGAACAGTTTCTGCTTGTGGTTGACTTCCCATTCTCACTTTTTTTTTTTGTTTCCCCCCCAGTTGGATGAGAAGGAATCCCGGCGGTTGTTCCAGCAAATTCTGTCAGGGGTTGATTACTGTCACAGGCACATGGTGGTGCACAGAGACCTGAAGCCGGAGAATGTTCTTCTAGATGCTCATATGAATGCTAAGATTGCTGATTTTGGTAAGTGACAAGTGAAATTTGCCTGGGTTAGACAGTTGTTTGGGTCAGTTATCTGCAGCTCACATTCAGCTTTCACTGAGCATAGTAGATAAAACACTTTTTTTTTGTTTAGGTTGGAATAATAAAAAAAAAAGCTTTAAGGGGAAAAAAATCCATATATGCAACAAATTAGGAACTGATTGCAGGTCTAGTAATCTGCCGTGGCTACAAAAACAGACTCAAGGACAGTGTTTTACACAAATATTTGGCTTTTCACCTCATCACCACTTTCATACTTTTAGCACAGGTCAGTAGGAAAAGGGTAATTAGAACACAGTAGTTTGAAATTAAGTAATAGGTGGTTTCATCCAAAAAAGTTAGTGGGAGTAAACGCCTTTTTTATGCCTTGTACATACAGGTAAGTCTAGAACAAGGCTTTACCTGTAGGTACTGTGTATATGTGTATGTATATGTGTGTCTGTGTGTATATGTATGTATATATATATATATATATATATATATATATGTGTGTATATGTATGTATATGTATATATATACATGTGTGTGTGTGTGTGTATATATATATATATCTATATATATATCTATATATATATATCTATATATATCTATATATATCTATATATATCTATATATATCTATATATATATCTATATATATATTATCTATATATATATCTATATATATATCTATATATATATCTATATATATATATATCTATATATATATCTATATATATATCTATATATATATATATATATATATATCTATATATATCTATATATCTATATATATATATATATATATATATATATATATCTATATATATATCTATATATATATCTATATATATATCTATATCCTATATGTGCCCTGTTTAGGAGATATTTAGCTGTGGAGTCGGTGATGTCACTAGTGCATGCGTTCTGTTCGAGGCCACAATGACGTCACTCCCGTGCATGCATGTCCTTTCAATCAAGTGGCCGCAGCCAGTGAATCCAGAAAACTGGGTGAAGATGGATTCCCTGGTGCCTACTAGTAACATGACTTCCCCTTGGGAAGGGGGGGGGTGTGCAGTTTTTTTAAAAAATTTTTTTTTTTTTTTTTGTTAAACTTGTCTAAGCAGAAATGAATAAACTTGCAGAAAATGTGTATAGCTGACAGATTTAGTTCCTACAGTCAAGATTTTCAGGTGAATATATGGTTGTATCTGTTTTGTTTTTCTCACTCATAACGTTACTAGTATAGTGCTTTGTGTAGCCTTTAAAGGATAAGTTCATCTTTGGAACATGTGACATGTTGCACCCGTATTTAGGATGGGACATATAACCGGTTACATTCCTGCCTCCTCCCACACAATCACAAACTTCATTCACAGATTCCTGTGAATGTATAAACCAGGGGCGGACTGACAACTCATGGGGCTCCGGGGCAATAGGGGATCATGGGGCCCCTGTGTCCTTGCCCAAACTCAAAAAAGCCTATGAAAAAGGTACCAGGGGCATGTCATGGGGCCCCCTACTGACCCCGGGTTCTTGGGCAGTGCCCGAGTTTCCGAATGGTCAGTCCGCCCCTAATATAAACTATCTGCCACCATGGCGGATGGACTTGTAGTTTCAATGGACTGGACTGGTGCGGATGAGCATTCTCTAAGCCTGACAGAGGTACAGTCTGAAAGCAAGAGCACACGTCTGCAGGAGCCCATATTGGCACCCGTGATCTACGGATTTCAGGTGCAGTGCTTTGCAGTCTCCTGCTGCAAAAATAAATGCATTTATTTATTTTTTTTCTATAAAGGTCAACTTATGATTTTAGTACACCTTTGTGACCATGTATCATAAACCCATATTTAGGACCTTGGGACTTGTATGGTCCTGAGGGGGATGGTGAACAGCCTGAATTTTTTTTTTTTTTTTTTCCCCCAGTGTGGGTGTATTTATTTCTATCAAAAAGGTATAAAATGCCTTAAAATGATTCAAACCACCCAAAACTGATTTTCTTTCCATCCCTTGGAGATCTCAGCCCTAAGATCCTGGGTCTGCATACCTGCTGCGACTATCACAAGGTGCTTTTGCTCTTTTGTAGGTTTTTTTTTTCTACTTATTTAATAACCATTTCATGACCCAGGGTAATAGAAAATCTTTATACCACTTTATTTAAAAAAAAAAATGTAAATAGAAAGTTTTTGTTTTAATGGGGGGTTTTTTAATGCATAATCGTATTTGAAATATTATTTTATTTTATTATATTTATTTTCTCAGCCAATAGGTACAGTGCCTTAAAGTATTCATACCCCTTGAAATTTTCCACTGTCATGTTGCAACCAAAAACGTAAATGTATTTTATTGGGATTTTGTGATAGACCAACACAAATTGGCACATAATTGTGAAGTGGAACGAAAATGATAAATGGTTTTCAAAATTTTTTAAAAATATCTAAAGTGTGGCGTGCATTTGTTTTCAGCCTCTTTGAATCAATACTTTGTAGCACCACCTTTCTCTGCAATTACAGTTGCAAGTCTTTTTGGGGATGTCTGTACCAGCTTTGCACATTTCGAGTGACATTTTTGCCCATTCTTCTTTGCAAAATAGCTCAAGCTGTCAGATTGTATGGGGAGCGTCTGTGAACAGCAATTTTCAAGTCTTGCCATAGATTCTCAATTGGATTTAGGGCTGGACTTTAAGCCATTCTAACACATGAATATGCTTTGATCTAAACCATTCCATTGTAGCTCTGGCTGGATGATTCGGGTTGTTGTTCTGCTGGAAGGTGAACCTCCGCCCCAGTCTCAAGTCTTTTGCAGACTCTACCAGGTTTTGTTCTAAGATTGCCCTGTATTTGGCTCTGTCTTCCCATTAAAACAATATGTTCCCAAAGGTGAAGAAAAGGAGAGACTAGCACCAAAATAAGTGCACTATTAAAAGGGTTTTTTAATTAAGGTAACTGAGGTAACTCACTAGATGGCAATAGAGAAAAGGCATGTATAGATGTCTTCCTTCAAAGGTCCCGGAGACTGGTGGAGAGGGCAGAATACCATCTACTAGCCAAAGCTGTTGTGGGGACCGGTTCTCCCGGTTCCACGCTGGTAGCGTCCAGCAGCTGTGATGGAAACAAGGCTGGAGCGAAAATGGCCGCCGGGCGGATGTGAAGTCACCACGTAAGCGCAATGCCGCAAGAGGGGAGGTAATGCGTTTCGAAGCGTCAGCTTTTTCATCAGACCTCTGGTTTCCATCACAGCTGCTGGACACTACCAGCGTGGAACCGGGAGACCAGGTCCCCACATATGTTTGCCTGTACATCCCATATGGGCAAACAGATATACTGACAAGTCTGCAGGAGACCTGCATGGCACCAGTGATCTGCTGATCGCTGGTGCAATGCTTTACAGGCTCCTGTAACCAAAAATAATGCATATTTTTTTTACGTGCAAAAATGGGCATTTTAATTTTTTTGGTCGAAAGGTGAGTATCCTTTTTTAAATGTTGGTTTAGTCAAGGTGACAGTAAAAGGACTTGTCTTATCTTCCGCTCCCCGGCAAACGGCACTCCCCTGTGCTCCAGGATTGAGTTGCCTGTCAGCGACGTGAATGTCCATTGCAGGGGTATGATCCTTGTATTCGCCTTGATATCATGCTAGAGTGCAGGGAGAAAATACCGCAGGGACTGGTCCAGCAGTGCAAAGGAGGCTGTAGGAGCCAGAGGATCTGGTAAGTAAAACTGCTTTACCTGGTCCCCTAGACATAAGTTAACCCTTGCAGTATGAGCACAGCCTGTGTAGTCTGTTAGAGATCAGTCATTTTTAAAGCGTGCTGTAGCTGAAGATGATAGGACTTTACCACCGTTTTTGATATAGAGAATCTGCTGGGAAGTCTTTTTTTTAAATGGGAGGGTGCCAAAGCTTATCCAATCCCAGAAACAAATTTCATATATTGCAGTTTACTAGTCCTTAGATATGATGGTTGCGTTGTGTGTGTTTTTAGGTGGCTACGCTTACTCACTCCACTGTATCTATGGAGGAGCACTATTGTCACCTTGGACTGCTCACTTAATTTGAACTGCAAACTTGTCCTCTCCATCACATGGAGGGTAGGGCAATTAGTTTAGACCATAGCTGTGAATGGAGATATTTTGTGCGTTTGGTTCAGCTCACTTTGACACATCAGATTGACATTGTGTTTCTGGCAAGATCTTTTCTGTAAATACAGAAAATGCTCTTAGCCTGAATAAAAAAATCTAATGCAGCCACTTTTAAGGACTGCTAAGTTGCACTATATAAAATTTTTATTCTTTGGATTTAGAATGCAACAGATATAGGAACACCCAAATTAAATTTACTAATATGGTTTCACTTTCAGTAGGTTATTACTGGAGGAATTTGTTTGGCCCTCTAAACCAGAGTGTTTTTTTCCCCACATTTTAATTTTTTATAGGCCTTTCCAACATGATGGCTGATGGAGAATTTTTAAGGACGAGCTGTGGGTCTCCCAATTACGCTGCGCCAGAAGTAATTTCAGGAAGGTATGTGTGTTGTATTCACTAAAACACCTGTTTGTATGGAGTACACGAAGTGGGCAATGTTACCTATTCATGGCAACGGGCTGATGGAGTCAGGCCAGGCACTATGGAACTGGATACCTGACAATTGGCAAGTACTCATCTTTGGGTGATTCAGCAGGATGTAGTGATTTTGTGACCCACATAGTTGTATTCTAGAAATTCCAACAATTTGGAAAGGCTGAGGCTTGACATACTCCCACTGGGAAAATGCAATGGAAAACTTGGCTCTGCAGCTGATCTTTTAACGGTCATTTTTTTCTGTATTTAATGTGTTCTAAGATAACAATTGTGTATTTTTTAGTGAACCCAGATCTAGTGGTGGTGTAATCTTCAGGAAGCATGTATTGGCGTGTTCTGTAGGTTTACATTGTGGATGTATACTGTCCTTCTCTGTGGTAACTGTTTCTCTCTAACAGAGGCCGGGTTAGACATAGTATGTCTCTTATTAGGAATGAAAACCCGCCTATTCACAAATGTTTATTTTTTTCGTTAACGTTACTCTTTCAGTGTAGAGATTTGTAGACTAGTTTCTAAAGACCGGGTAGATTTATCTTCTGCAATAATTCTGCCTAACATCTGCGATAAGACATTAACCGCCAGTGTGTGCCAAACCACTGCCCATCCCTCCTGAGCACAATGGTCATATACCCGTCAGCTGAAGCCTGACCTGAGCACCACCGTTTGTATACAGCCTTTCTTACTCCACTGACCATGGGCAAAAAATTGGTTATTTCAAGTGTTCTGTAAAGCAAGCTTTAAAAACAAAAAAAAAGTAAATGCTCTTTATGAATCTCCCCCCTTTCTACAACATTGCTGTAAGCCTACTGTTTTTCCTATCCAGGCTCTATGCTGGCCCAGAAGTAGACATATGGAGTAGTGGTGTCATTCTTTATGCCTTGCTATGTGGGACTCTTCCATTTGATGATGACCATGTGCCAACCCTGTTCAAGAAGATCTGTGATGGCATTTTCTACACTCCTCAGTATCTGAACCCCTCTGTGATCAGCCTTCTCAAGCACATGCTTCAAGTGGATCCCATGAAAAGGGCTACCATAAAGGACATCAGGTGAGCTTGCCAGTAAAGTAAATTAATGCGGCTTGATCAATATTTTTTTTTTTTACATTACTACTTTATTGCAACCCTGTCGCAGGTGGGTACAAATGGCAAACAAAATTTTCCCATAAAGTGAGATATTTTTTACTTTGTGGGCGCTGCAGAGTCTCCCTGCAAAATCTTGCATCCTACATATATTCTCAGGTATATTGGATTTCTGGATCTCCTGCCATGCATCATGGTTATATTTGCTGGCTTCCATTTCACTATCCAACAGAGGGGGTGGTGTGGGAGAAGCCATTGTGTTGCCAACGTGTGTGGGCATCGCATACCTAGCAGTGTGATGGCAGAAGATTCTTCAGGGTTGTGTAGCTCTGCAGCAGACAGTGTTGCTTTAAAGGATAGTTCACCTTTTGGGGTAGATTTACTAAATCTAAAGCACTGAGAATCTGGTGCAGCTGTGCATGGTAGCCAATCAGCTTTTAACTTCAGAAACCTTCAAAACAACCTGCTTTGTAACAGTTTATAACATCATGTACCCATATTTAGAGTCTTAACATGTTTGGAGGATCCCACCTCCAGTGTACATGAGACCTTGGGGGCATTCACACCATGCCTCCACATGAATCGCATTAGATTGCACTGAGCTTTTGTGCAATTTTCATGAGGTTCTGTGCAGTGTAATTTCAGCCCATTCATTTTGGATGAAAATCGCACTGCACCAGAAGTAGTGCTGCATACTTTTAAAATGCACTGCAACCGGATCGCTGGCAAATGCAATGTTTACGACCTGCATTTGGGGTGGTGTTAACTTTCTGTTGACACCTGTTGCAGATTGCAAATGGAGTGTTTTTCATTTGGTGTGAATTGCACACAAACGCACAGCTCGTTCCTGTCTGCTTCATGTGCAGGGGTGGTGTGAACCGACCCTTAAAATCTTTGCTTTAAAAATAGCTGCTGAATACAGGGTGCGTCCATGTTATGTTTGCAGACCTTTTGCAACACCTGGTCATCTTTTGATTGCCTCCCTTTGATTATCCAGACAGCTCTAGCAGAAGGAGGGAGTCTGTCAGTCCTCTAGCTTAGTTGTGCAGGTGTTGAGTAGACCAGAATTGCAGGAGATTTTACATTGGGCTATTTACCATTTAGCAACGTCCCTTTATTTGTATTGCAAACTAAATCACGTTCACCTCCAGCTGGCTGCATGGGTCAGATAAAAATTCCTTTTCACACAAGCTAATTCTTAAATATTCTCTTAACCCTTCACAGAAAAAAGCAATATAAGCGCCATTTTTGAAAAGTAAGATTTTAATCTACCTCTCTATGAACACAAGAACAATGTCCAAAATTTTTACAAAACTGAGTTTTATAGAACATTCAGCTCATTACATGAAAGGGTAAAATAACTTGCATTACAAAATCTTTAGTTTTTTGCTCAAATTAGTTGATGCAAAAATGAATACACCCCACAGAAAAAAAACTACATCTAGTATGTTGTATGACCTCCATTATTTGGAAGGACAACAGTCTTCTAAGCATGGAATGAACAAGTTGTCGACTTATTACAATATCAGTATTTCTTCCATTCTTCAAGAATGACTGCTTTTAGAGCCTGGATCCTGGATGGAGAGTGATGCTCAACTTGTCTCTTTAGAATTCCCCATAGGTGTTCCATAGGGTTCAGATCAGGAGACCTACTTGGCCACTGAATCACTTTCACAATGTTTTGTTCACAAAAACAGTTGCCTTTTTAGATGTGTTTTGGATCATAGTATCTTTCAATATAGAGCAGTACATCTGTGAATTCATGATCCCATCAATGAAATGCAGCTCCCCAACACCAGCAGCACTCATGCGGCCCCACAGAAGGACACCACCACCACCATGTATCACTGTAGGCACCATGCATTTTTCTTTGTACTCACCTTTGCAACACCATACAGTTTTGAAGCTATCAGTTCCAAAAACATTTATCTTTGTCTCCTCACCCTAGAGTACAGGGCCCCATTAGTCTTTTTTTTTTTTTTTTTTTTTTTTTCCCCCCAGCGTGGACCCTGGCAAATTTTAGGCTGGCTTTTTTGTGCATGGGCTTTAGAGACTTCCTTTGTGGACAACACCCATGCATGCCATTCCTCTGCCGTAAATGCTGTATTGTCAAAGGAAACAATCACCCCAGTTTGGCTTTCTGCTTTAGCTATTTGTAGTGAACTTGCATGGCTTTTTTCTTCAACCCTTCACATCAGAAGATGCTCCTGTCAAGGTGTTAACTTCCATGGTCTTCCTGGACATCTGAGATGGTTGCAGTTTCATCTTAAATATTTGCTCTTTTGCTACAGTGTTCTGACTGATAAGTAAAGCTTTGCTGATCTTGTAGCCTTCACGTTTCTTGTGTAAAGAAATCTTCTTTCTCAGGCCTTGTGATATTTCTCTTCCATTTGGTGCCATTGCTGACAGCATGAGATGGGAAGGCTTTCCTTAAGTAACTTTTTATAATCAGTTGTCTTCTGGACACCTGTTTAATGAATAATTACTCACCTGAATTGAATTTGTTAGGATTTTGTCTAAAATTTAGCTTTGCTTTCATGGCTTGCAAATTAATAAATCCTGTTTGCAAGCAATGGGAGTATTTTGTAGTATAGTGTCCCATAGAAAATGTTGATTCTGAAAGGAAAGTCAAGGTTTTCTGACAATTATGTTGGGTGTACTCATTTATGATGAGCACTGTATAGAGCCCAGGCCATTTAGTTTATGTAGTAGTAAATTATTTCCAAAGCAGGACACTCAATTGGTACTGCTGTCATCTAGACTCCACTTCTGCTATTACCACATTCTGACCATAATATGTACTTGCTTTTCCAACCATACCGAGGCTTCAGACCTGTAATCCAGTGAAGAGGCCATGATTTATGGACTGTTTGGTTTTGATTGGACTAAATTTTGGAAAACTAGCTTGTCCTCCCAAAAAATGCCTACATACACTGTATTTGTCTGCAGATCGTCTCAACCTTTTCAGTGTATGCAGATTTGATATGTCCCTAAATTCTTCCCATGAATTTGACCTATTACAGAAGATGCACATGTCACCACCGATTCATGGGTCCAAAACAATAGTTTTGTGCTGATGACTGATGCACACAAGTAAAAGCTGATTAATCATCAAATGGCGTGCTAGTGACAAATATATACTGACGGTGCCATCTGTTCAGTTGTTGGAGCACCCGATCACCTAAGGTCATATGCAGTACAGGCACATATAATTCCTGATCTGACAGGTTGTCTCTGTCATTGATAAGTAAACAGAGCAGAGTCTAGACAGAGCATGTGAGCATTGCAGAATCACTCTGATGGCAAATCTGATATGCTTTTGGTACTCTGGAAGGGCAGGATTGCAATAATGTAAGCAGGAATGTGAGACCTCTGTCCAGCTCATGGGGTACCTGAAGTTATACAATGTAGTTTTTAAAGTGTGCTATAGAGATGCAAGATGACACCACTTTATGTGCTGGTGTCAGAGCTTTATGAAATATGGCTGCATAATTAAAAATGATTGCTTTTGGTGTGAAAACTATCCTATACTTGGATACATGTGGTGGGACATTTGTGACAATGAATAAGATAATGGGACTCTCAGGGTACAAATAGTACGAATGTAGGTTACATTGAGTTTGATGTGTTTATAACAAATATAAACATTCTTTGTGTGAATGAATCATTTTATGTATACACAAATCTCTCCACAAGCACGATGTTTGTACAGTATATGGATTCCATCAGTGTGTATTTCCTCAAATATATTTCTGCAATATTGTATTCATGTGCAATATAAAATATTTAATATAATGTAATATAATATTATATAATGTAATATATTTATATAATATATATTTTCAATCCTTCTGGGCCATTTCACCCTCCTTTCACCTGGTGATCCGACCAGTAACACACCTCCTGTATTACAATGCGTGCCTACACTCTGCATGAAGGCACAAAAGGGGGCACCTTTGGACAGCAGCATTGTTAAACTTGCTGTGTATCAAACACTCCCCCAGATTTAGATACACTAAAGGTCCCTTTCACACAAAGGATCTGATCAGTTTTCAGGCAGACCTGATTGAACCCTCTATTCACCCCTGTGGACCAACAGGTGTAAACGGACTTGTGTCCATTTATACCTGCTTTCTTCCGATCTGGTCTGAAAACAAAACTGTTGGGGGATGCGTCCCCCTCAATCTGATCAGATTAGAGGTCAGTAGGGTGTAAATGGTGGATTCTGTTTATACCTGGCCTCTTAGAGCAGAGCAGGCTCTATACTTGATCACACTGCAAAACCTGAGCAGACAGACCGGTCATGAGCCCAGTCTGCCCATATCAGCAGGAGATCAGCGGACAAATCCCAAGCTGATCTGAGTCTGCCCCATGTGAAAGTGGTATGACAAATGAAAACCAACTCCAGCGAACGCTTTATAATCAGTTACAGCAAATAGTTTTCCTTTTGGGATAAAAGTTTACATGAATTAAACTCTGGTCATTGTAAGCACCCCTGTCAATGGTTTGTGTCAAGCCCCTAACTTCTACATCTAAAGGACAGCTTTGTTCTGTTGAACACCAGGTGAAAATAGGAAGGCCTAAAGAAACCTAATGCAAACACCACATTGGAATTGAAAAGTTACAATAGGTTTGCTTTGGGTTTAATACTGCTTTAAAATGGTGGTAAAAACTCGGCTCAGCTACATGTCATCCCTCCCACAGAGCTAGTAATGTTATACTGTTCCCTTAGTTCTAGGTACCAGTGTCCCCATATGACGGCTGTCTGATTTGATTTCCCATCACTTGTTAGTGGTGACGATGGTCATCAGGGCAAATGGGGTGAATCTCAGTGGAGACACTGCCAGAAGTAAACCTGATGCTTCCCTGTTTTATTCAGGAAAAAAGTTTCACTTGCTATTTGTCTGGTAAACCGTTGTCACTGGAGCTGAAATTGAGGGAAAAATCAAACATTGAATTGGTGTCAGAACAGGAATCGAGACAAAAATCTTCAAATGGGGACAAACTTGTCTGAGAATGTGTATATGGGGAGTTTCCTTCAGATTCCAGTTGTCTACATAACAGGAAGTCAATCAAAATCTCCCCAAGTAGACACAGATGGCAAAGGTTTTTTTTTTTTTTTTTAATCATTACATGTTCTATCCAAAGCGGGGAAACATTTAATTCCTTGTGTATGATTTATCTTCTATTTCTGAACTTTAATAAGTTCCCAAGTTTTGTGACATTTATGAAGACCTTGTCATAAGCTGGAACCTGGTGTTACTAAACCCACGACGGTACAATCAGTCTGTCTATGCAGTAAAGCATGCTTGTTATACTCACTGTGGAACCTAAGGGGTTAATCCTCTGCATTGTGTAAAAAGGCTGCTTGAGCCTGCCTTCTCTGCCCCTCTTGTTGTAATGTCCACCTGATACAGACTGAACCCGTGGTCACATGCTCAGTTTATGTATTGCTAGAGGTTTTTTCCTTGCGAGGGTGCATGTGATCAGCACAGGGCCAATCAGCACTGTCCACAGGGTCAGAGGTTTCACATCCTCCTAGAGCAGAATTTTCTTTCTCCTCCTACAAGCTTTAACCAGTGCTCTGCTGAAGTCACAAGACTGCTCTAACTGCTGCTGAGAAAAGGTATTTAGCAGTTTATATTTACTAAAATAATTGCATTTCCATCTTGTGTGTACTGTGGGAAACCAGGTGGAGTGAATTCAGGGGCCTGGGTTTAGTATTTACTTTAAGTAGCTATTTGTCAAAATTTCATTTTTTTTCTTTTAATCCAGAGAGCATGAATGGTTTTAAACTGGACCTCCCAAAGTATCTGTTTCCAGAGGACCAAACCTACAGTTCTAACATGATTGATGATGAAGCCTTAAAGGAAGTGTGTGATAAGTGTGAGTGTACGGAGGAGGAGGTGCTCAGCTGCTTGTACAGCCGCAATCACCAGGACCCATTGGCTGTAGCTTATCACCTGATCATAGACAACCGACGAATTATGAATGAGGCCAAAGATTTCTATTTGGCAACAAGCCCACCAGATTCATATGTAGAGGAGCCTCATGTACCCCGGCCCCATCCAGAGAGAGTGCCCTTCTTGGTTGCAGAGTCCCCCCGTCAGAGACACACACTTGATGAGCTGAACCCACAAAAATCAAAACACCAAGTCGGGGTGAGAAGAGCAAAATGGCACCTAGGGATTAGAAGTCAAAGCCGACCAAATGACATCATGGCGGAAGTATGCCGAGCAATGAAGCAGCTGGACTATGAGTGGAAGGTAAGGGTTGCCATTTTATTCCCATAAGATGCCATTCTGCCAAATGGTTATTGAAATACTAATCTTCGGAACATTTGTATTCCTTCAGACAAATGGAGATTTTATAGCCAGGCAGAGCTCCAGGCTGATACAAAACAAAAACACAAAGCTGCATTAACTTGCATATTTTATGTTTTTTTTTGCCATGCCAGCAGTGTAAGTGTCTGAATTTGACCTAAATTAGGACCTAGCTGGCAACAGATTTGTGACATGCACATGTGCTGGTAAGAGGGACCACTTTAGTCTGGCTGCAGAATTGGTGGGAGGCTGAGGTTGTCGAATGTAGAAGGCTCCACACTATTTAAAAGTTTTATTCTTTCTTCGGTCCGAGGGATTGTCCACACAAATAAAAATCCCAAATATTAGTTGCAGGAAGATAAAAGTAATTTCTCTTTTAATATGCATTTGAGCTACGCATGCATGTTAAATTGTATGGGGCAGCACAATGGCTAAATGGTCGGCACTTACACCTAGCAGCACTATTCACTGGTGGTAATCCAAGACATGAACTACCTGGAGTTTGCATGTTCTCTGTGCCTGCAGGGGTTTTCCACCAAGTACTCTGGTTTTCTCCACACTCCAAAAACATGCTGGTAGGTTAACTGGATCATGTCTAAATTGGCCCCAGTATGTGTATGTATGAATGTGAGTTTGGGACCTTATAATGTGAGAGCAGGGACTGTGTGTGTGTGTGTGTGTGTGTGTGTGTGTGTGTGAGAATTGGCAGCCCTATAGAAATACCTGTAATATCTTGGTGGTTCAGAAACTCCTAGGGACCAACCAAATAATGAAATGGGTCTGCTTACAGCAGCCATGCAGTGAGTGAATGTGTTGCGATTGGGCTGATATATGGATGGTGAAAATTCTGTCCCTGGCTGAGCCATCAGAACCGGCTGGTTCATATAACCTGTGGCCACTTCAGAAGGCCAGACCCTCTCCTCCCAGAAGGTGAGGTGACACCTCCAGATTGAGCAGCATGAGAAATGTATGGGGTAATTCATCTAGCCATGTGTTGGGAACAGAGCAGCCTCCTTTTTTTTTTTTTCCCCCTGTGCTTCCCACCAACAGGTTAACAATATTGCCCTAAATGGTGGTTTTTCTGTATTTCTCCCTTTTTTATATTTCATAGCATAGGGCTAAATGTTTTCTTGTATCTTGTCATTTTTCTTTTATCTTTTTGTACATATTTCTATGCACTGCCCACCAAGGGATATTATACAATTGTTTCTGGTACTAAGCTGAGAGTTTTCTAAGGCCCCTTTCACATGGGGTGGACTCCACCAAGTGTCCGCTAGTTCAGCAGGGAATCTGTTTGCAGATGGTTGGTCAGTGTCCCCTCCATCTATGCAAAGCGGACCCACGCAGCCCGCAGTCCTTTGTGGCTGGTGGGATGTAAACAGACCGCCTGTCCATTTACACCCGACTGCCATCCAATCCACTGGTTGGGGAACAGCATTCCATGTTTTTTTTTTTAAGCAGATAGGATCAGATGTAAACTAACAAGTTATTTACATCAGCAACGCTATAGCGGGCAATGGAGGATACAATCTGGTCTGCTGAAGAAAAAAAAAAAAAAAAAAAAACTGACTGGTGGGCTCAATCCGTCTACCCATGTGAATGAGGCCATAGAGAAAGATTGTTGCATTGTCATCGGTCTGTTCTTGGTTGTAAATTGTGTTAGTTGCCTGACAGAATGAGACCGCCAATCTGATTGCATGCAGATTAGTGATATATCTGGCAGAGGGGATTCGGTGTGTGTGGTTTCCTAGCAGACCAGTCAGCTGACAAGCTGCAGGTGGTGGCAAGCAACCCTGTGTGGGCAGTGGGAAATGTGATCATGCTGAGATTCTAGCTTGCAGTATAGCCTAGGGAATCTTGGACATGTGTTGGGTTTGCTATGTTGCTCCACAACCTTTAGCCTGGGATCACACTGGTGCAGAATTCAGTGGTTTCTGTGAGAATTCCGCACCCAGTTCATGCGAACCGCTTCAGTTGTGTAACACCCCGAAATCTGTCTGCAAAACTGTGGATGTGTAGAATCGGATTGCATGGTTGTAAACACCCATGCAATCCAATTCTAGTGCGGATCAAAAAAAGGGTCCTGCACCTTTTTGGTGCGGATGTGGTGCGATTTTGTCCAGCAGAAGCGCATCTGCTGTCCCTATTCCACACTCCAACACCCTTAGCTCTGCCCTCATGCTGTTGTGCACAGCATACTCCGGCACTAGCAGTGCTTCTCGGTCTCCCTGTCTGCACTTTATCTCTTGTGACCCCAGAGTTCCCCACCTTGCTGCATGTGACCTGCAGCTGATAAATGTCCTTGGTGCCAGAGCTTGTCCATCACACTGCAACAGAATCTCTGCAATGACACCACCATCTTGAGATGCTCACTTCTTTGCTAGGAATTTTACCCCTGCACTGAGCCATTGTGCATGTTGTGGGTCCTAGGCTCCACCAGATCCCTTTGCCTCACATACATCACCAAACAATAAGCACTGGACTCCTAACAGTTCTTCCTGGGAAACAAGTACATCATGTAATAACTGTACGGGGGAGATATGGTGACCCTGGCAGAAAAACTGAACCCAGCTATCCGAGGGGACCTATGGGGACCAACAATCTGTGCTTAGAGAAAACAGATGGCTGTAGGAGGCATCACCTAAAGACAACTGCCCTTGGCCAACAGATGCTGGATTCTGCCTAACCAAGAGAAATGCAGGGCTGGTCAGGGTATATATCTCCCCATCGGTCCATTGATTTCTGTACCCTGTCCTTTAGGCTGTTTTTTTTTTTTTTTTTTTTTAATTTTTACAAAGTTCCAAAATACAGCAAGTAGGAACAGGAGAGAGAAAAACAAAGGTAATAAGGTAATTTTACAAATGCCAAGAGGAATAGTGGAACTTTTTGGCTCCTTTTTTACATGGGTGTTCTGATCAGGTCACCTGTCCATTTTTCAGGAGGACCTGATTGGTCTCTCCATTCTCCTCTATGAAGCAGTGGGTGTAAACGTGCGTGTCCGGTTTCACACCTGCCTACATCCAATCTGAACCGCTAAAAACAGGTGGAGATTTGTTCTCCATCTGGGTGGATCGGATGGCAGTCGTGTGTAAAGGGACAGGTGGTCCGTTTACATCAGATTGCCCATAGAGAACGGGCTGTGTCCACTTATGCAGGACCTGTCATAAAACTGCTCAGCAGGGATCCGTGGACATATCCCCTGCTAAGCAAGCTGATTGCAGGTGGAGTCCACAGCTTGTGTCAGGGGCCTTAAACAAAAGAACCATAAAGGTCTGGTGTAGAGGGAGTGGTAGAGGTGGTGACATTGGGTTGTGCAGTGTTTGCACTGTGTGCTATTGACCAATTTAATATCGGGCAATTTTACACCTTCCTGCCCAGGCCATTTTTCACGTTTCAGCACTCACACTTTGAATGACAATTGCGCGGTCATACAACATTGTACCAAAACTAACATTTTCTCATTTTCTTCACACAACTAGAGCTTTCTTTTGGTGGCATTTAATCACCGCTGGGGTTTTTATTTTTTGCTAAATTAACAAAAAAAGACCAAAAATGTTGAAAAAAAACGCGTTTTTCTTTCTGTTATAAAAGTTTGCAAATAAATAATTCTTTATAAATTTAGGACAAAATGTATTCTACTACATGTCTTTGGTGAAAGTAACCCAAATTGGGATGTATTTTTTAGTTTGTAGGAAAGTTATAGAGTTCACAAACTATGGTATATATCTGAATATTGATCAATCCTGAAGTACTGACAGCCAATCTAATTTCTTGAGGTCCAAGAATGTCAGAACAGTACAGATATCCCCAAATGACCCCTTTTTGCAGAGTAGACAGTCCAACGTACTTCATTAAAGGCATGGCAAGTTTTTTGAAGTTGTATTTTTTTTTGTAGCTATTCGGAAAATGAACAAATTAAAGAAATTAGTTTCACTTTTTTTTTTTTTTACATACGGTCACCAGTGCAGTATAGCGTCATATAACTGGCATGGCGGTGAACAGGGACACTGACCGGTGACAGTATGAAAAAAAAAAAATATATATATATTTTTTTTTTTATTAAATTTTTTTTCTTAAGATTTTTTTTTTTTCATATTTCACTATCACCAAAGTAGTACAATGTTACCATAGTAACATTGTACTACTTTGAGGAAGTGATCAGTGTTTTGTTTTTTTTTTTTTTTTCTTTAACACAATTTGCTTATAGCAAAGAATTACTTTGCTATAAGCAAGCATTTACCTGAATGACATCGATTCATTCAGGGTTTTTTTTTTTTTTTTTTTTGTGCTTAGCTGTGATTTGGCCACAGTTAACCACATGACGTGCATGTGATCACTGTGACCATTCACAGCTAGACACTAGTATACAATGGATGACATGAATGAAGCCATCCATTGTATACAACTGTCATGTGACCTGCTGTGATTGGTCACAGCAGGTCACATGGTACCGGCAACAGGGGCCGATACTCGGATCTGTCATCGGCCGTGTCCGAGGTACACAACCGGTGACAGATCGCGGCTCTGCAGGAGCGCAATCTGCGCATGTGCGGGAGGACGCCATATGGCGTCCACCCGGAACGCTGATGACATTTGCCGGCCGCCATTCGGCCATAGGGTGGGCGGCAAATGGTTAAGCATACCTGGGAGTCTTGCTCTGCAGCTGAGGTAGCAGGGCCATGGTCTCTCTCTCCTTACCAATTCCGGTAGCATTAGATACATGGGATGCAGTGGCAGTAGCCATCTTGGCTGCAGAGTGAGTTGCCTTTGGGTGGCAAGGAAAAGCGGGTTCCCACTCCTGTGCCTGCTCCAGCAGTCGGGACTGCTACCACACACTAGCGGCTGCTGCTGTGCTGGTGTCCGAGTCCTTTCCTCCTGAGCATATCTGGGCTTTTGGGCCTCGGAAGTGACAGGTGAACCAGGGTTCAGCAGTATCCTCAACACTGTGGGAAGCCTTGGGAGTGACGCTAATGCCTGTCACAGAATTTACAGGGGATGGTGGAGACCGCTTGGCTCGGGTCACCTGCGTTCTACTCCTGGCCACATCCAGACCATTCTAGGCTTATATTAAGGTAGGGGCCCCTACAATCATATTCTGGATAGGCTGATTTTCATCCCCTCCACCCCATTTTTTCCTGGCTCTCAGCAGATCGCACATGCTGCTCTCATCAGATAATCCTCCTGGAGCTCTGGCTGGCTCCAGGCTGTGGATGATCATATAAGGAGGGTGAGTCCCAGTGTCCTTAATGTTCTCTGCCCTCCATCCTCCAGAGCTCAGGGTTAGTGTGTGCACCTCTGCCCTCCCTGCTCCGATCACTGGGGAGGAAATCCGGGGGTATCCGCTTTGTTTTAAGGGAGTAAAAAAAAAGGAAATCGGGTCTAGAGCATATTCATTACAAAAACAAAAGAAAATGCCCAATTTGCACAGTGAAGGGAAGTAGGGATGGAGAGGAGGAAATATCCTGTTGAGTGGAGATCCGCTTTAAAGTGCTCTTATACCTTAACAGTAATCTGTAACAAATCAAAACTGCTATGCAAGAATGCTTCAGTGAGAAAAAAAGTAGCCATTCTCCACTGTTGTACTCGTTAATGAGAAGTCGGGCTTCACCTAAGAAGTCATTGCCCTGGAAGCATGTGGCTCATGACTTTTGAAATGGTTAAATTTAGCCACACCTAATGCAAGAGCCCTCTATGTATCACTTGACCATAGTTTTACTTTAAACTGTTCACATCAAGACTGGGCTCGGTTGTATGAAGTATGCCCTGAAAATATGGTAAATACATATTGATCCTGCCAGTACATCCATTGAATAGTCTCTTCCTTTTATAAGGTGACAATGCTTTTTCTTCAGGGAGATCACTGTGACCTTGACTTGCTGCTGTAGCTGCTTAGATGTTGGCATGGTTAGTCCAATCCCTGAGGAGCCAGACCTAGCTCTGCCCAGTCCTTTCATTGCATCACATTGCTTTTATCAGCACTAGCTCACAGAAAAGATGTTCCTGCTTGCGGTTGAGCAGGGAGCAGAAGAAATCCAACTTAAAATCTGCATTTACCATCAAGAGGTTGAAAAATGTATCATGCTAGCTTGCACTTAAAGTGGAGTTCCATCCAAAAGGGGAAGTTCTGCTTTAAAGATTGGTCCCCCCGTTCCCCATTAGGATTGGCACCTTTAGGGAGCGGGGGTGGGGGGTTGGAACGGGTACCCGAATTTGACAGGTACCCACTCCCACGTCTGCTGCGATCGCCTAGTCGATCGGAAACAGAAGTTGTACTACCCTCCCTCCCCAAAGTCTTGTGGGACACGTGACAGGTCCCAGAAGACGGGGCCATTCAGGAAGCACAGCGCTACTTACTCATGCATGCGCAGTGGGCACCCGACTGTGAAGCCACAAGCTGTCACAGTTGGGTGCCCACACTGAAGATGCCGGCACCTGGAATATAGGACAGCCAGTGAAACGGACTGCAGCAGGGGCAATGCGGGATCGTGGGACAGGTGAGTGGCTGTGAGTGAGTGGAACTCCGCTTTATCATCTGTTACTGAGGATAAAATAGATTTTAGATGGACTTTTTAAACTGTTTAACTGGAGTTGCCCTTAAACATATCCTCCTTTTACAAAACTGTATGCTATCCTAGTCTGATAACACCCGTACCCCATGCTGCATTCATCAAGCTTTCTTCCTAAAATCTGCAGGTTGTGAATCCATACTACCTCCGTGTTAGGAGAAAAAATCCAGTAACCAGTATGTACACAAAAATGAGCCTGCAGCTATACCAAGTGGACAGCCGGACATACCTACTGGATTTCCGCAGCATAGATGGTATGTAATACTACTGTACCAGGCAGAGATTATGGTTTACCTGATAGTTCTTGTAACATTGACTCAAGTGTGTATTCAACTAAAAGCAATATACTGACCAAATGTAGTCTTGTGTGCTGGATTCTGACACCTTCAGTGAGTCTCCTTGACATTGTTTTGGTTGTTTCCACCCACTTTGGAGTCTGTTCCCACTCCCTCTGTTAGTCTGCTCCTGTATGCCAATACTCCCCATTTTGCACAGTGCATTCCTGAATCCCTTTCTGAAAGTCTGTATAGAGGTAGTACAGATTGGCTTACAAATACTTTCCCTTCCACACCAAGTAAGAGGTCAGATTTGGTGGCAAGTTACTTGAGCAGCCAATTCTGAATTTTGGTTTTTGGAGGGGCATGTGCAGATAGGCTCCATATACTAAAGTCCAGGCCTTTAAACGCTGTGCAGTGGACATCAGGAATGCAGACCGTACTGTGCAGGTATGACGTGGATACTTGAAGGGCCTACTGAAAAGCTTCAGTGTTACTAGAATAGTGGAAGATGCTAAATCTATTGTGGAAGTAGTGCAGTTCACTCAAAACCTATAGCCAACTTTTGCCACTTTTGGAAAATTCCTCAGACATTTATTAAAAAAAGCCTTTTCTCTCCTGCAAGACAATGCTATTATGCGCTAGTATGCATCGCATGCTAGCACATTATGAAGTACTTGCCTCAAAACCAAGCCCTTCAGTGGCGCGCTGTCACGGCTGACAGGGCTTCCATCTTCCTCCTGGGTTCGCAGACTCCGGCCCGCTTTACTGTCTGAGCCATGATGACATCACAGCGGGAATCCCGTCTGCGGCACGGAGCTCTGAAGGTATATTATGGGTCTGATATTCCCTCAGGGTGCATACGCCGGTGAAATCACCGGTGCAAGTAAAGGATATTTACAGTACTTACAGGTAAGCCTACAAGGCTTACCTGTATGTAAAAGATAAATAGAACGACTTTACGACCACTTTTAAGCAGTACTATACTTGCTACTTCTCCAGCGCTGCAATGCTTGTTAAGCCCAGCGGCTTCCAGATATTGATCCCCTGCTGTTTCCATTGGCCAGGCAGAGATGGTCGCTCCCCCACTTGTATGGGAGTTTAGTTACAAGGATGTGCATTTCATATCGCCTGATGCCCGGGCCATGCACTTTTGGGCGCCAGGTAGGTAGTTTTTTTATTTTGTTTTTTCTGCCTTTCAGCCCTGCTGTGGGCCTGCTGTGGGCAAGCAGCACCTGTCAGGTGGAAGCATTTGGGTGGCAGTGCTGCTGCCCAATTGCTTCCACACAGCAAACAGTGCCAGCCTCTCCTCCCTGCCCGCTATGTCCCAGACTCCGCTTGCCCATGTTTGGCCCAGGACTGGTTCTGTGGGTGCCGACAGGATGTGGTATAGGGGAGGGAGGAGAGCGGACACATCCGCTCCCTTCCCCTTGTCCTGACGTGGAAGTGATGTGACGTCACTTACGGGTCCCTGTTTGATAGATTCCCGGTCATTGAGGCCGGGAGAATGTAATGCGGTGCGAAGTGCACTGCATTACATTCACATTCAGGGAAGCACAGGGGAAGATATGTAGGGTCTTTTAGACCCTGGATGTCTCAAATAACAGAACCTGTCACCAAAAAATCATCACAGGGGACTTTGTAATTAAGTAATTTTTTTTATTTTTATTTTTTTTGTGTTACACCCAAGCATATAACCCCCAAATTTCTCAAGGCCCCCACATATGCATGCACAAACTTAAAAGCACTTGCTGGGGCGCCTCGACATGAAAAGTCGATTGCAATGCACGTTACATATCGCCACGCACGCCAGGATGAGAACAGTAATTTTTGCACCAGAACTCCTTCGTAATGCTAAACTGATTACCTATAAGGGGCTTTAAAAGCGCCACCTATAGAAAATAGAGGGTACTAAAGTTTGTTGCCGTTTCACGAGAGCACGCAAATGTAAGGTTTGACATGTTGCAACCTCCGTATTTTTATATTTTACAAAAAAAATGAATAGCTTTTTGTGCCCTAAAATAAACTTGAATGTGTATATAGTACTGAAATTTTGCGTTTCCTAGACATTTTTGATAATATCGTGTGACATAAAAAATTTAAACTACCACTATTTAGGATCTCTGATTTCAGAAAATGTGTTAAGGGTTTTGTGCCATAGTCAGGCCAAAAAACGCAAAAACCGCTCTGGCAGCAAAATGGATAAAGGATAAGCCCGGCATTCCCCTTTCCTGACGAGCAGCCAATCTGTGCTCATTACACTGCACGGTCTTTCTTCCCTGCTTGTCCCTGGGTGCTCTGCTGGAGAGAGGCACGGAGGACGAGATAAATGGCGCAATGTAAAAATCAATTTTTTTTTTTTTAAAGATCCAGACATTACATAAAGCAGATTTAAATACGGTTTTGGTTAAATATTTTTGTGTTTTATCTGGACAAGTAGATTGTCACAAGGGACAAGTAGATTGAAAAAAACTACTTGTCCGGGGACTAAATTGGTGTCCCAGACATTTCAACATGCCTGAGTTATCCTGGCAATGCAGAAGTTCTTACACTGCAAAGCTTGGTGTACAGTACGAACAGGTAGATGAGGAACTTTAATGCAGAAGGGCATAGCCTGTATCTTCTGCAATAAAAATCCTGCCTGTTCAGAAATTTATTTTTTTTTGTAAAGTTCCACATTAAATATTTGCATTGCATTCCAGGTGCAAAGTACAGGCTCCTGCACAGGAAATGAACAATGGGCTACAACAGTGATTGCGTTTTCACACCAACACTTGTGTTCCACTGATATCCAAGTGCCCCTCTGCTGTGGTGTCAGATGGGACTTCTATTCACAGATCCTGGGAACAGTTCTATGAATGGATGATGCAGCTGTGCAGGGGGAGTTATGCAGAGCTGCACTGACTGTAAGGGGAAAAAATTTGCAAAAAACCTCAGAGTAGAACCCTGCAATGTGGGTGGTGGGGTTAGGCAATGTGACCATATTTAATGTTAAACCTTAGTGGTATTAAGACCAAACATGTAATATATTGCATCTTGGCTATTATTGGATGTGGTGGCTGCATTCGTTTTTTTTATTTAGGCTTTCTGTTTTCACCTGGATCTGTCCAGTAACACACCTCCTGTATTAGTGTCTACAATCTGGATGAAAGAGCATAGGGGCATATTTGGACAGCAGCATTCATTCTGGGGGAAGGGGAGTGTTAGATGTACTAGCAGATTTAAATACACCAACACATTTGAAGCCAAACACCAGCTAACTCTTTACAAGCAGTTACAACAAACTTGTATGTATGTGGGATGGTGGGGGGGGGGGGGGGATAAACCTTAAACATTTACATGATGATTGTAAGCACCGCTGTCAGTGTTAATTGTTTTTCAAAAATACAAGCTCTTGTGCCAATATCCGTTACAGGGATGAGACAAACCTGCTTACTGGCTGGATCCCCAGATGAAAATAAAAGATGTGGTGGCTGCATTAGTTTTTAGAGTTCTAAGAATTGTAAGCTGCAATGTTTGCCTTTTGGATTTATTACTGCTTTAAATATGGCATGGTCACCAAGGGAGCTAAGCCTTTGACTTTAGGGCAGGCAGCACATTGGAAGGAAAGGCACTTAATATGAAGGATTTTTTATGTAGGAAACTCTTGGACATGAGAAAATGTGCTTTGTTTACCAAGGCACACTAAGGTTTGCCTGGAGTTCAAATTGAGAGACTGAATCATAGCAGCTGTTTTATCAGGATATAATCTTTGCCTTGTTACCAGCACAACAAATTTGTGATTTTAGACGAAATGGCGTAACGTCGACGTCCAGATGCAGAGAATGACATGCTACCAAACCTACAGCCTGTCACTGAAGCCATAGCAGCATGTACACATGCATGGCCACAGACTGCAGTTCCTAGTGTGCTTTCAGGGCAGTAATTGTTGAATAGTATTGGCCAGAGTACTGCACCTCCAGGCTGTCAGGACTTGAGCAATATTTAGGGGGGAACATTGACACATTAGGAGTAACGTCTGGACACTACTCTGTATGTTTGTGTGTGGGGGTGGGGAGAGTACAGGATCTCTGGATGGGAGGGGGCTCTACACTGAAATTTTGTGATGCGGTTAAAGCATGACCAGTTTACTGAAATAGAATGTGTTGGGATACAAAGAGATGATATATAGAATTGGCCACAAAATGCAAATGAAGAACCCAGGCTGCATTTTCTAGAAAGCCTTTTCATGTAGAAATATGAACCATTGCTGTTGATTGGCATGACCATTCCCCACTGGACTTTCCCTTTTTGCTAGAGGACTTTTATACCAATGGGGACCATTTAGACGAGAGAAGCCAAAGGAACTAGTCACGGCTTTCAGGTTCTGGGAGATATTCAGGTTTGGGAGAATCTGTCCCTTTGCCCACTCGGTACAAAGTGTCAGATCATAGAAGGGGAAAAGAGTGGTCTTTCAAGAGAACCGGTTCTTTTTTTTTTTTTTTTTTTTTTTTTTGTTTTTTTTTTTTCCCCCTATTACTCCATTCATCTTTGAGCCCTAAAAGTGTCTGTAAACCCTTTGCTACACCCAGTGAAGTGAGTGGCCTTAGGTGATACCCATGGATAAACCAATCCTCCTACATAAGTTGTACCTGTTTATTTGTAGGATTCTCTTCTCTACATTTGTTCAAAGTGCTTTTTTTTTAAAGCTTGTCTGAGCTTTCAGAAAACAGGGTGGAGAGCTGAAATTACGCACTGCAGAGCTTGGCAAAGGGGAACTCTGAGCTGATTAGAAGGGGCACACACCCCCTTCACACAGCCTCAGTGCTGTTCATGTCCTGTCAGTGTGCTGAAGGTCCTTCCCTTGTCACCTTTTCTCTTGGTGTCATTAAAACTTGTCAGAAGCGACTTGTACAGATAGCAGAGATATGAGGAAGCAGACAGAAATAACACTTGGTGGCCTGGACTGAGACAGGTATTCACTATATAGGGATAAGCTTCATGGTTTAATATCAACCCCCCCACCCAAAATCCACTTCCTCCCAGAATGCAATGATTGGGCCTAAACAGCCAGTGGCCAGGCCCAAATACTATCACCTGATACCAATGACCCATGGCTTCAGGAAACCAGAGAGGTTAACAAGGGAAATGGGGTGAAATTTCAAGAGGACTTGTCACTCAATAGACAAGGTGACAGATCTAATTTGAATTGGATGCCTGCCCCACAGGTAAGTTGATCTTTTCCTTTGTATGAGTACTGCCGATAACGTGTTGTATCTTTTGACAGATGAAGTTAGCGATGCCAAATCTGAAAATACCACACCAAGACGGTCGGGGTCTGTTGGCAATTACCGCCCACCTCAGAAAAGTGACTCTGATGCCGAAGCCCCAGCAAAATCATCCAATGGTTCTGTCCCTTCTTCACTGACCTCATCTGCAGACTCCTCCAACACTGACCTGGTCCCTCGACCAGGAAGCCATACTATAGAGTTCTTTGAAATGTGTGCAAATTTAATCAAAATTCTAGCGCGATAGGCTGAGGCCTTTTACCAGATCTCATTTCGAGCAATAAGCATGCAGTAACCTGTAGCCAAAATGCTTCCAGTCTTAATCCAGTCCTAGTACACAAAGAGCTGAAAGCAACATCACAAATGCAATTTGCACATAGATCCGACACCGTCGCTCGGTCTAAAACAGTAAAGCTTAATGTGTGATAGTTATTTTTAACAGATATAGAAATGTCAACAAAGCTATAAGATCTCGTGTGTGTATTTTTTTTTTTTTTTTTTTTCAAGATTGACTTTTTAATTGCACATTTTATTGAACACTGGGCTGTGTCGCTTATTCCTGAGACACCACATGCGCTTGTTTTTATTAGTCTTTTTTTTTTTCTCCACTTTTAAAGGGGATTTTCAGGATTTATTTTAATGACCAGTCTCTGCTCTTGATAGGGATTTATACTTGTGTATATTGCAAGCAAACAAGAGATTACTCAGCACACTATGTATGTAAACCATAAATTTATTTTACAGAGAAATTTCACCGTAGAATTACTCTACGGACATGTAAATGGCCATACAAACACCTTGACAGATGCACAGCAGCATGTGTAATTTGTTTGCTCTTTTGGTTGTCCAGCAATTGGCTTTGGAAACGGCTAGCTAGTTATCAGTTACACCATGCAGTTCATGGTGTCACTTGGCCCCCACCATGCTATCTGCCTCTTTGACCATTTCCCAGTCCGGCTTTCAGTCACAAGATGTAGGTAGCATGAGGGGGCTGAACACAACAAGTTGTATTGTCACTGTTAAATGGCCGGCTGTTTCCAGTGCCGATTGCTGGACAACCAAACCGTGGGCAAAAATCAAACGTGCTATGGCATTTCTCAAGCTACATGTTATATGGCTGTTTAACCCCTTTACGCCGTGCGGCCTCCCGGTGTCTGGGCCTAGACGCGGAGCGGACGCACGTTTGTGTTCAGGTAAGAAAAAAACATATGTGCTGAGAGCTCAGAACGTTTCTAGTGTGTAGACTTTTAAGTATGTTTAGTTTCATGCCTAACTGTATAAAATGTTAGGCAAGCAATAATTTGTGAATTTGGTACATTGTTTCTTACCTTGCGGTCCTGCCAGTAATGGGACTTCTGCTAGACTGATGGTGCTAAGCCACTGCTTCTCAATTAGCAGCATTGTCAGCCTGCTGTGTGTGTACAGACCTAATGGCCAACTGAAGGAGCATACATGTTGAGCAGGCACCGCTGCTAATTAAGAGGCAGTGGCTTAGTGTTCAGCCTGCAAAAGGAAATGCTTTTCCTGGCAGGATCGCCAGGTAAGAAACTTTGCAACAGATTCAAAGATATTTGCTTAAGAAAACTGTATACAGTGTGCTGTGATATCAAGCATACTGAAAAGCATTTGTGGTTTACATATACTTCAAAGTAAACCTGTCTTGATACAAACACTGATTGCTGTGGCTAAACTGCATCTGGAAATACTAGTTTCCTGGCTGTTATACTGACAACCTGGCTTCAAGATGAGTCACTGACCAGGAACCAGTGCAAAGATGAGTAGAATGCCTTATCTACATACATGTGCCAGGTATTATGGTAAAGGGTATTGAAGTAGAAGGGTTGGCATGATAGCCAGGCAGTTGAGAATTTTCAGAAGCAGAAGTTGTCAATGACAGCCTCCATGGTTTCCTATTGCAGAAGAACTGGCAGACCAGGCCTTCTCTCAGAGCCAAGCCAATAGTAAAGTGATGTCCTGTATGTTGACAATAAGGGCGGGGATGATTGCAGCGCAGATCTCTCTGAAGTCTCACAGTGGGGGCACCGGAAAGTAAATTCTCACCAATCTTTGCATATTCAAACATGGAAGCTACCTATAGGAGGGCTTCTTGATCACAAGTGCTCTAAATCTGACAAGATGATGGGTCAGCTACCTATAGGAGGGCTTCTTGATCACAAGTGCTCTAAATCTGACAAGATGACGGGTCAGCTACCTATAGGAGGGCTTCTTGATCACAAGTGCTCTAAATCTGACAAGATGACGGGTCAGCTACCTATAGGAGGGCTTCTTGATCACAAGTGCTCTAAATCTGACAAGATGACGGGTCAGCTACCTATAGGAGGGCTTCTTGATCACAAGTGCTCTAAATCTGACAAGATGACGGGTCAGCTACCTATAGGAGGGCTTCTTGATCACAAGTGCTCTAAATCTGACAAGATGACGGGGCAAATTCTCATTAAAGTAAGCAGAACTTTTCATTTTGGATAAACTAAGGATTTTAGAACCACTGCCAGTTTTTTTGCCATCTGTGTCCCATTGGGGAGATTTACATTCACTCCCTCTCCCATATCCAAAACAAGAAATGAGGACCGCTGCAAATTAAGGGAATCTCTTGGGGGGGCCCCCCAGGTTACCAGAACTAGTGTCCCTATTTGGAAGATTTCCCCTCTTACTTTTCTGGGAACAACCCAAAATTTGGAATTTTTTGTTTACATTTACTTTTAATAACGGTAAACGGGACAAATAGAGGGTGAAACTCCTGTAATGGGGGCACAGATGTCAATAAATCTTAATAGGGGTTCTAATCCATCTCTACTCTATCCAAAGCTAAAAAAAAGTTGCCTTTAGATATACTGTAAGATCTATAAAGACTCACTAATTTTGGGTGGTAGAGCAGGCGAGTGAAGCGCGTCATTATTTCAGCTCACACAAAGCCAGATGTTGTGAGCCTGGATTTGTTCTTTAACAGTTTACACAGAGAAAATAGAATGCAGATAGACAGAAGCAATGGCATGAACAACCAAAATGCCATTGAGAGCTACAATGGAAGATGGTCAGCAAGTTCTCCAATTTGTGCTCCAGAGCCACCTACTGGTGAAATCTGGTGTGACCGCTTTTGCAGTGAAGCTATAGGAAGACTCAATCTGTTTAATTGCTGTCAGTGCTCATCTGACCTTCCTGTCTGGGTTTTTTTTTTTTAATCCTTCTGTGCTCTCACTTGGGGCAGACCAAACCAACATAAGTATGTTTTCCATGAAATTGGTTACTTTCCTTCAGTGCTTGCACAGTTAACTGGTCCCCTCCCTTTGCTACACAAGACCCCCTTATATCAAAAGCAATGAGACTGCCAACTGTTTAGAAATAACCCTGAAAATTCCCTTTTAATTCTAGTTAAGTTGGTTTATATAATGCTGGAGATCTAATTGGAGTTTAATGAGGGACGGTAATTTGTACAAATGTAATAAAAGTGTTGTTTTTCTTTTTATATATAACAGTTGAACATTTTTGTTAAATGGATTTTAAACATTGGATACATGTAGAATGTTACCTGGCTGGATAAATAAACACTGATTTTTATTCTTGGTAATAGCAACAAATTCAGGCTTTTTTTCTTCACAAGTGCTCAACTGGCATTCACTTGCTATTTTTTTTATATTAAATTTTTTAAGTTAATTTTAAAACATATCAATGAATGCCTGTATTACCTTTAAACGTTAGATTGTATGTGCAAGGAATAACTGCATTAAAGATTTTTTTTTTTTTTTTATGCTTCGGCTACATGTTGAAGAAATTCATTTATTGAATAGAATATGGAAGAGCACAGGCTTGAGCAGGGGGCTTGTATCCCCATGCAACTGTTAGGTTTTTAAGCAGTATAACAATGAATGTGGGAAACGGGAAGATGTGTTTTTAGTACATGTTCTACCATTACTAGAGAATAGAAAAATGAGACAAACTTAGAGCATACTCTGGGGGAGATTTACTAAAACTGATGCACTCAGAATCTGGTGCAGCTGTGCATGGTAGCCAATCGGCTTCTAACGTCAGCTTGTTCAATGAACCACTTCAGCTGCCGATGATTTTACCCTCTTCATGAACAAGGTATTTTTTGCTATTCAGTATTGTGCGGTTTTAACTGACAACTGTGCAATCATGCATCACTGTACCCGCATCAAATTTCTATCCTATTTTTTTTTCTCAAAAATAGGTTTATTTTGGTAGGTATTTGACCACCACTGGGTTTAAAAACTTTTTTATATATAAATGAAAAAGATGAAACCTTTTGAAAAATGATCTGTTATGGAACATATCCGATTAAAAAAAAAAAAAAAAAAAATCCAATTTCTTCATTAATTTAGGCCAAAATGTATTTTGATAGATTTCTTTTGCACAAATATACACTTATTGGGATTTTATTTTGCCAAAGTCATACACACCAAACACCAAACCAAACTAGTCATACACACCATAGTTTGCGTCTACAAACTATGGCGTGTATATATACTGGAATTTTTATTTTTTTTTTTTTTTTTAAAGCTAGTAATGGAGATCTTTAGCGACTTGTATAGGCTACTATATACTGTCACTGTATCAATGACACTGGCTGAGAAAGGGTTACTATCTAGGGGCAATCAAATGGTTAACCGTGTGCCTAACAATGTAATGTGTGCTGCTTTTGATAATAGATGTGACTGTTTTGTCTCCCTGCTTTGCAGGGAGAAAAAAAACAGCCGCATTGCTGCTCAGTTCAGAGTTCTCTGTTGATAAATACAGGGCTTTGAACTGTCATTCGCTAGGCCAATCAGCAGGTCCCAGCCATAAATCATTGGCTAAGACCTGCTGATCGGCTTGTGCTGTAGAGAATGACAGCGCAGAAGGGGCACAATGCATGTGCATGCCCCCTTCCCAGAAATCACAAACCTGTAAAACGCCGCTAGGCGGTCTGCAAGTAGTTAAGCTTTGGCAGAAAAACCTGGAAGCTGATTGGTTTCTAAGTAGAGCTGCAGCAGATTTTACTCTAAAGTTTTAGTATACCTCCCCATTTGTCTGATGCATTTATTATGCATGTTTGTCTCGCTGGGAACAGTAGAGATGTTTGGCACAGAGTTCTATATTGTGCGAGTTTAAATTTTTTGTTACTTAAACAGGACAGGATTGAAAGGTCTGCACAATTGGATAAGCATTTGCAATGACTTAGAGCCCAGTTGGTGCATATAT